TCACCTGCCTCTGCCTCACATGGCTGGGATTAAAGATATGTGCTACCATACCTGGCTGGGAGATTCTTAAATAATCGTTTTTATTGTAAGTGTGGAGCACTCAGACTGTGGGCATATGAATGAAAGTCAAAGGATAATTTTCCAGAATCAGCTTTCATACCAAATTCAAGAACGTACAGTACATATTTTTACCCACTAAAGTCTCTCCCTATAAATCACAATTACTTCTACTATCCTGGATAATATATGAACCAAAATAGCTAGCAAGTTCCATGGTGGTACATGTACAAATTAGTTTTCTTTACTCTGTGAAAGAGAAAGGGGGAAGGGAATCTTAAGGAATTAAACCACTACTACCAAATACATTTTGTAAATTAGTCCTTAAGCTTACCAGCTAGTAAGGGTTAACAAATTTGGTCAGCCAATTAACTAACGTAGAATCCAGGTACGTTTAACAGATCTATAGCAAAAGTAAAACAAAAATGCTATAAGGAACACAGAGAAAAAAAATGAACATCCAGATGAGTGAACAATCAAGATGTTAAGATCTGAGTTTGTGAATGCAAGGTAAACAGTAAATATGGAAAAAAAGGTTATCAGTATCTCTTCAAGCTTGGAGAACAGTTATCAAGGAAAAACAGAAAAATAAAAGTGTTTGAAAAATAAGAGTCATGACAGAATGAGGTTAGATCATTAAAGGCATTAAGTCACAATGTATCTGAATGCTTATATCCAACCTTACAAAAGAGACAGTATTTAACTACATAGTAAGAAAACTTCTCTAATAAACCATGGACTAGAATGGGTAGGAGGAAACAGTTGTTATTAGTAGCTGACTCCTTTAATGCTAGTATTCCAGAGGCTTAAAGGCAGGACTACCCAGAATACAAGGTCAGACATGGCTACTGAGTGAGACCCTATTTCAAGAAACTGAACAGGAATAGAGGGAGAGTATTAACAGGAAGTCTGACCCATTAATAATAACAGCCTGCATGAGAGTACAATAATGGAAAAGTGCCAGGCTTAGTGGCACATGCTTTCAGTTTCCGGTGATCAGAAGATGGTAGCAGATCTTAGTGAGTTTGAGGCCAGCCTGATAAATGGAGTTCCAGGAAAGCCAGGGTTGTTACACAGAGAAACCCTGTCTTGGAAAAACAAAACAATAGGGAAAAAATAAAGAGCAAATAATGGAAAGGCAGATATAAATATTAGTGTTAGGATGAAAGAAAGTTAAAGAGGACAGAACACATGAAAATATATGGTACAGATTGACCTGTGAAAAAGGGAAGACACGGGACCACCTTCTTAGAATGAAAGAAAGGACCACAACTTTCAGAAACTAATGTTCACCCTAAGTTCCATTCTCTTCTGTTTCTGCACTTATTCTGTATCTTATATTTCTGATACTTTTTCTATAAAGAACATATCAAACCAGAAGCATTTTTATAATAGGAATTTTTAAAAAGCCTCAAGTATTCTAGTTTCACATTACTTTGAAGAGCAGTTGTGAGGATGAAATCATCATAACCAGGGACACCATATAATAGCCTAGTAATCGCCAGTGACTTCCATTATCTGTATCTGAGGTCCAGGAACTGGATTCTCTGTGTCTTGGTATTATTCAATAGCAAAGTCTTCTGCTGAACCTTGATGTGATGGAGCCTATACAAATGGAAGACAAAACTAGCTATATACAGTTCATCCTACTGATGGAAGTTAACCTGACTTCAGTAACTTTAGGCCAACACCTCCTGCAGCAGATAAGTCATCAATAAGTTATAATCTACAAGCTGAGACTGGAAACCAGTGGTGAAATGCTTATCTAACAAGCCAGAGAACCTGAGTTCATTCCAAGCCTCACCAAGAAATAATAAATAAATAAATAAATAAATAAATAAATAAATAAGCAAATAAAAATTATAATCAAGCTGAATGCATTGTCAGAAACATTTTGTTTCTTGTATTTTCAGACATGGTCTCAATGAGGTCCACACTAACCCAGAGCTAATCCTGAGTACTTAAAAATCTTTTGTTTTTGAAGCCTCTGCATCACATTCCATCAGCAAATCACTCAAGTTTTGGAGGTATTTGTTTCCTAATCCATCAGTGAAAACTATCACAAGGATTTTCTGGTGTATATTTATTTGTTAGCCATACATCAATAGCAACCACACAGAACACTACACTCAGCACCCTTCTTTTCCCTTGTATTAACACACCTCACATTTATTATAGGGCTTATCAGGAAAATAAGAATTTACACACCTCAACAATCAAATAGTGAAGAGGCGTCTTTAGTCCCATAGCTCAAGAGGCAGAGCCAGGTGGATCTGAGTTGGAGACCAGCCTAGACTACACAGCACAGGACAGAACCTATCTGGAAAAAAAACAAAAGAAAAATACAGTAAACAGCTTATAAGGAGAAATTAAGCCAAGAAGACAGATAAAATGAAATGCAGGAGCTAAAGAATGAAGACACAAATGCTGGCAAAGAACAGGTTGTAGGGTAGTCCCTAGAACAGAGAATTTATTCTACGACTTAATAGTTATGTTCAAAGCCGTGCTTTCAATACTATATTGAGTATGGATTCATTTCCTTTAGGAAATCTACATGGGTAACTTATTGGAATATGAGTTTGGAAAATGTCATATTTAAGTTTCTTATACCATAGCACATAGCCTATATTATTTATTCAAATGAAGCAGGTAATACAGATTCACAGTGGCAGAGTCTATGTTCAGTCAACTCTATCGTCCCTTCACTTACCTATTCAATGATTATTAAGAGTGTATAACCACCCCAACACAGTCCTGAGCACTAGGAATTCAATGATGGGCAAGACAGGCCAGATGCCACTGTGGAGCTTACAATCTCGTCTATTCATTAAAGAGCCAGTCATCTGACTCTACTACTAAACCTAGAAACAAATAAAACTTTTTGCATTAAGCTGGACAAGTGAATTCCGCACCAGTACGTACATTTGCTATTTTTCTAAATCTTGTTTTTCAAATAACTATTTACTCATCAGTTCTGGGCCTCAAATTTTAAGCAGGATATTTGACAAGCAACACAATGCAAACAAACCAACCAAACAAACAAAAACAAAATAAAAAACCTGAAGACCATACCTCATAAAAAAATAAAACAAAACAAAAAAAGAAAACCCCACCACCAAGAACAACAAAAACAAAAAGACAGGTTTTTGGCCCAGAGAGAAGACTTGTTGGAAACATAACTATCTTCCATGTTTTAAAGAACTAGTACACAAATTTGTTCTGTACATTCCAAAGCATTACATGTAGAACAAACATAACACAGATGTAGATTTCTATTTCCATATGAAGACTTAACAATTCAAACTATTCACAATTCAACCACTTTAGATTTCTTTAGGGATGTATACTTCATAAAAGGCAGTTTTTCATTTATCCCTTGAAATAATAAATAGGACAAGTATTAAATATCATAGTTTAGCAAACTAAGTCATCAATGGTTTTGCTAAGAAGCCTAACAAATCATGTAAGAAAGAAACTAGGCAAACAGTGTCTAAACTCAAGTCCAACAAAGACTGACCAAACAATGTGTTCCCACCTACTGATGTATTCAGGCATGAACCACATGGCCAGCTGTCAGAATTGTTGACCAATATTACTGAAAAGCTTCTTCCAAAAATGAACCCTTTGGACAAACAGCTGGTCAATACACACACCATGAAAAGACTCCATAGTGAGTGGACTTTCTATATGCTAGCTCCATGAGGACAGCAACTTTGTCTTTCTTCACTGCTACATTGTCTTGCCTAAACTATCACTGACACATAATACCTGCTCTTAGATATTTGCTAAGCATGCTCAGGCCTAATCACACAAACTGTACTATACGGTACACACCACCAATGTGGAACAAGAAGAAACCTTGCTAAACCTTACCAAAATCTAAAAACACTCATTGTTAAAATTGCCATTGCACACTTGAATGGCTATAAAAAGTTATGAGTCTTAACCTAGTCAATCCTAGAGCTAGTTTAACAAACCATAAACCATAAAGCCTAAAAAGCCCAGACACGCTAAGTAATATAAGAAGCTACAATATCTACAAAGTACTCAAAAGCCACTTTTAATTCAATCTACAGAATAGGTATGTATCAATATACACATATTTTTGAGACTATTATTGTATAACAAACAATGGCTTAACATCTATATAAAAATCATATTCCAACATCAGATCACATTATCTCTGCAAAAATTCCTGAACAGGTTCATTAGGATTATTAGTACTTTAAAAGGTCTAACTCTGCAGTAAGCAGTTTCAGATTTATAGTGGCCTAAGAATGTAGTAAGCCATTCTCGCGGTTACGGTGTACCACTATATTATTGGCAACTGGGTACTGAACATAACTATCATTTTTCCCCTCCTTTTTAAAACCAAGACTTTGAAAGAGCGGATAAAAACGCTACCCAACACAAGAATCATTCTCGCATATATAATTTTTTATCTTCAAACTCTATTTCTATCTTCAAACTCTTTCTGTCAACGTCTACGTACACGTATTTCGAGTATTAAACTTTACAAAAGCTGCTTTTCCCATCCCCGTATTAACCACATAAAACATCTGCAATCCTTATCTAACTCTGACATCACCTTCTGATTCGGACTGCTCTTTACAATATAAGTCCTTGTATTGCAGTCCATTAATAAATCATCAACAAAGTAACTTTTTCTCCATAAACAAGTATTAAGACAAATTAAACCAAACTAGCAATGATGGAAGGGCAGAGCATTTTGTACAAACCTGCTAATAGTTAAAAGCAACAAGTTAAAAACTGAACTCTTAGAAATCGTCCCTCCCACCCCCACAGGTGCGCACAGCACCCCCCCCTCCCCGCTAGAAACCCTTCCTCTGGCTCAGAGCTCTGGTCTGGGAAGTGGACCGAGTAGACCAGAGGCGCCTCACCCTACTTTCCCTGCCTCCTAAGGGGAGGGGTGCAGGACTCACCTGAGTACCGGGCTGTAGGGACTGCGCGAGCGCCGCCAGCTGCTGCTGCTGTACGGGCTGGGGGATACGTCGCCGCCGCGCTCATAGGAGCTGTGGCGGCTGTAGCTGGGCGAGCGGCGCCGGCTGTAGGGGCTGGGGGAGCGCGGCAGCCGCCGGGAATAGGGACTGCTGCCACCTCCCGCCGGGCTGGGGGACTTGCGGCTCCGGAGGCTCTGCGAGGCCCTGTGGGACACCGGGCTTTCGTCTCGGCCTCCCAGCGGGCTCAGGGACCGCTGCCGCCGCCTGTAGGCCTTCGGCTCGCTCTTGTCCTCTCGGTAGGCCTTGGGCGGCTCCTTGTAGGCCGAAGGCGGTTCCTTGGACGACTTAGTCCGGCTGCGGTGGGCCTTGAGGTCCCGGTCCTTGCGGCTGCTGCTGCTGCTCGACGTAGCCGACGCGCTCTTGCGGCGGCCGCCGCTGCTGCTGCTACTGCCGCTCTTGGCGGCTTCGGCCCGCTCCTCGCCACTGTGTCCGTGGCGGCTGCGGGCCTTTGAGGCCTCGCTGCCACTGCGCGTCCCGTCCCGCCGCCGGTGCTCGCGGTGACGCTCCTTGCTGCGGCCGCTGCTGCTGCGGCGGTCCCGGCGCGGCCTGCGCTCCGACCCCTCCGCGCGCCGCTGCGTGCCGGAGGAGGAGGCCGGACTCCCGCCGTTGCCCCCCGTTCCCCCGGCAGCCGTCGCCGCCGTTGCCGCGCTGGCGCCCCCCAGCAGCAGCCCCTGCTCGGACTGGGAGCTCACATCCTCGTACTCCACCAGCGGGGTCACACCCCCGCCGCTACTGGCACCGCCACCGCCGTCCTGCTGCGGCTGGGGCAGCGAGAAGACCCGGCGCTTCTCCGCCTCCTGCCCGGCGCGGGGCCCGCGACGCCGCTTCTGCCGCCCTCCGGGGCGCCTCTTGCCTCTCGCCAGCCGCTTGACCTCCAGAGGAGGGCCCGGGCTGAAGCAGGAGGAGGAGGCCGCGGCGGCGGCGGCTGCGGCGGCGGCCGCGCCGGGGGCAGCCAGGAAGAGCAGAGGCGGCGGGGGCGGCGGCGGTTGCAGGAGCTGCGGCTGCAGGAGCGGCAACAGCAGCGGCGGCTGCTGAGGGGACAGGAATCGCCTCCGCTTACGGCGCTCCTCCAACTTCTTCTCGGCCCAGCTCAGGCCCCCGCCTCCCCCCAGCGCCGTGTCCGAGCTGCTCGGCATCGCCTAGAGCCCGCCGCAGAGTGCGGCGCGGGTGCGGCCTCCTCCGGGGTCAGACCCTGGCCATGTCCCCCGCCGGGAAGGGGGACGGCAGCCGCGGCGGAGGGGTAGCGAGCAGCAGGGCCGGCCGGGAGTCGCGCCACGATAATCCGGGTCGGGACGCGCGTCCCCGCTTCCAGTCGCGGTGTGTGCGCAGCGGCCTCAGGGCCTGGCGCGGGAGGATCCTGTCCTCGGCAGAAAGCCGGCCGCGCCGGGCGGCGGCGGCCTCGGGCTCCGGCGGCGCAACGCGGAAGTGCCACCGCGGGCCGCGATTCACTCCATCGTCCTGACGTCGGGGGCGAGCTCGCGGGAGGGCAGTGGGCGCGACCACAGCACGCCTCCGTCGCCGGCCGCTGCGCGTCCACGTCGTCCTGTGGCGGCGGCGACACCCCGCGGCGCTCGGACGGGCCTGGGCCTTACGCCCCGAGGGCACTGCGCGCAGCTTCCGGAGCGGGGGCGCGGCTCGCCGTCCTCCGCCCCTCCACGCGGGCTCCGCGCGCGCCGCTCGCCCCTCCCTTCACTTCGCGTTCTCCCTGCGGGAGGGCGACGCGACTGGCTGGCGGAGCCCTAACCGCGCACCACCCACTCGCCGCGTTCCTCAAGCCTTTCCCCTAAATCCAACGCTAGGTCGGTGGCGCGCACGCTCGTCACGTTCGGGAACGCAGACGAAGAGAGGTGGCTCGGTCGAGGGAGGTGCTGCGTGCACGCTCCCGCCAGGACCCTGACCGTCACCGGAAGTGACGCGGAGGAGCCGCTCCACTTCCGTCAGGGGTGGGACCGAGATCGGGGTTAAAGAAAGGAGAGGAGGCGTGGGCTGCGTTATGTTGTCGCTGGAGGCGCTCCCTATGGCGCCAGTCAAGGCGTTAGTTGCTCGCTTCCAGTGAAAGGTCACGGCAGGACCCAGGCGAACCTTGACGACTACCCTTTCCCCAGCCTCGGGATTGGAACATCTGTGACAGGAGACGAGACTCCCTGCAGAGGGCGAATATGACGTTAGCTTGACTAGACTCACGTACGCCCAAGTTCAAGGACCCATCGCAACCTAAAAATATACTTGGTGTTCATAGCTTCTGCAACACTGAAGTTCCCTTTAAAAAGCCTTAAGTCAATCTGGAGAATAGGGCAAATATCAAGGAGGACTACTGAAAATCCCAGGAGCTTTAAAAACATCGTAGTGGAGGCTGCCCTCTTTACTTTCACCTATAATTATATCTAAACCTATGAGCTGTCAGCTACATAATGCCCTCACATTGCATCTCTTGCCTTAAGATTTCCCTTCAGTTAGAGGCTAGACACTCAGGGTAATTAGATTAAGATCTAAATGGCTTATTGGTCATTAATACTGGAAAGAGGCTAAACAGATTGCTCAGTGGGTACATGTAATTACCCCTTAACAAATTTATTAGTTCAGATCATCAGCTGGTTTGTAGTTCTTAAATACTTAGTAATCAAGTTGACCTCAGCGTCTTCGTACCACAAACTGATGGAAGCTCAGACTTCGAAGTTTACAAAAGATACTTGCTAGAAGATAAATAGGTTTGAATAGCTACTTCTGACAATGACAGGCCTGAGTAAATCACCCAGTGGGACCTTCTGCACATCAGAGGGCAAAACAAAGATACTGGGGAACTAAATTTCAGAAGTATGTTGCCTAAAGCAAATTTCTTGACAGTACTGTTAACTCGCACTTCTGTAGCTTACTAAAGACTACTTAGAAGAGCTTTTCAGAAAAATAAGATCAACCTGCCCGTCATTCTGCTTTTTAAAGCCTGATGCAATGGTATATGTCTATTCCCAATACAATGGAGGCTGAAACAGGCCAAGGACGGTGGTGCGTTCTGGCCTATCTGAACTCTACATAATAACACCCTCCACCCCGTCCCACCTCGCCAAGAAAAAAGATAAGCCTGGAATAGAACAGAAGAGGCAAAATGATGTGTGTATAATAGTTACTCTAGTGTAAGCAGCTACTCCACCGAGAATGTCATCTGTTCTTGTCCCTACAAAGAAAACTTGGTCCATAGTAAATGTGTAGTGCCTAGTCCAGGCTGCACGTAGAAAACTTAAAATATTTTCATGAGATTCTGCCACCCACGTTTCCTCAAGCACTTGCCCACTTGTTTGGAAATGCTTTTAATAGGATTCAAGCTCCAAAGTACTGGAAATTATCGTTAAATTTGATGTTTCTATAAGAATATCTGTTACCTGCATAGGAAGAGATTTTTAAATTGCCACTTGGAACTGTTTTTGGGTATTTTTTTTTTTTTTGCAGTTTGCTGTTAGTGTGCTTTTCGTGTAATTATGTGTGCCTTTATTGCCTTGTGGTTTTAAAAATATCTTTTCTTAGTTTATCTGACAGATCATTATCATACCACATAAGCTGTTCTTTATAGTTTGGGGCTGGGGGCAGAGGTGGTCTCAGTTGTTAGAGAGCTTGCCTAGTATGCAAAAGCCCTGGGTTTGAGCACCAGTCACATAAAATAGAACACGATAGTGGACACCTGCATGATAGGTAGGTAGGAAACTACTATACAACTTTAGTGTAGTGTTGAAGATTATCCACAATCGAGAAGACTATTAAAATACCCCCTTCCAGTAATATATCTGATTTACATAGCCTATCCAAAAAAAATTTTCAGAAACCTGGGTTCAGATTCCAAAACCCACATGGTAACTCACTACCATCTATAGTTACAAGGAATCCAATGCTCTCTTCTGGCCTTAGGGCACATACATAAAAGATAAAAAAAATCAAATTTCAATTACATTAAAATGGGCATTAAAGAGATTTGCAAAACTAGTCCCTGCACTTAGGGAAAAAGGGACAGGAAGATCAGAAGTTCAAGGTCAGCCTTGGCTCCTTCACAAATTAAAGACACATGAGGCCTTGTCTTGGTGTGTGGGGCGGCGGGACAGATGATGTTGCAGAATATAAAACAACAAATCTTTAAATGACTACAAGAGTTACTTTTTTTTGAGACAAAGTATATGTAGCCTTGGCTCTCCTTGTAGACCAAGCTGTCCACACAGAGATTACCCACTTCTTCCTCTCAGGTGCAGGGATTAAAGTTGTATATGCCCAGCAAAAGAATTACTTTAAATAGATGAATTTTTAATCCTCTTTTTTTTGTTTTGTTTTGTTTTGTTTTTTGTTTGTTTTGAGACATGGTTTCTCTGTGTAGTCCTGGCTGTCCTGGAACTCACTCTGTAGACCAGGCTGGCCTCAAACTCAGAAATCTGCCTGCCTCTGTCTCCCAAGTGCTGGGATTAAAGGTGTGTGCCACCACTGCCCGGCATTAATCCTCTTTTTTCTTTCTTCATTTTATTTATCTACTTAACATCCAAACTGTCCTCAAACTTAAAATCTTCCCAATTTTGCCATGTAAATCCTGGGGTTACAGGCAAACACCAGTTGGGTTTTTTGTTTGTTTGTTTGTTTGTTTTTAATTCTCTCAAATTTTGTTTCTAATATAGAAAAAAATACCTGGAGGTAACACTTTTTAAATGTTCTTTGTAGTTTTCATTAATTTTTGAGAGTATAAAGGACCTTGAGTCAATTGCTACATGAAATCACAGACATAAAAACTTGATTGTTGCCTTTAAGCTTGTAAAAGGTGCAAAGTTCATGAATAGGCTACACACTCACTCCATGATCCTGTAAATAGGAATTTTTACAGTATTTGTTAATGTTGATTCTGTTTTAGAGAGACTGGTTGATTTACAGCTCTTCTTAGTCTTGAAAAATCTTTAAACTTTCAGCCCTTCTTATTCTCCATCACACACACACACACACACACAAAGATATTAGCTAATTACTACTTAAATTGAGCCCAGTGAACTTTTGAATAAACAAAGACCAACTAGTATTTACCGAACATTCACTATGCATCACATTCTATGCTAAATATTGTCTCATTCAATAAAGCAGCACCTATAAATACGAGGACCATGTTCTAGGACTTCCAGGGGTGGTCCTGGTTTACAATGTTTGTTCAAGTTAATAGGATGACCTTTTAGCCATGAGTTTTCCCTCCTGAATATAAATTATCATGTCAATCTTTCTGTAAAATTACCAATGGTTTACAAGTAAGAGTAAGACATACAGAAACTGATCCAAGGTATACTTTTAGTAAGTATGATCCATTGTTCTGTCCAGATTTAAAGACCATGCTTTCAAGAATACAAGCTGTTTTATACATTACTGCCTCTGAACTTTATATTAAGCCCAATGGTAATAATATATTCCAGAATTAAAATAGAAAAGTATAATGATGCTACAGCTTAAATGTTTCCTCCAAAAATCCATGTACTAGAAACTCAATTTCCAAATCCTATGTTGATTGTAACTGAAGGCAGGGCCCTTTAGGAAGTAATTAGAATTAGACAAGGTCACAAGAGCTGACGCCCACAATGAAACTGGTAGCTTCAACGTTTTTGTTGTTTAGTATTTAATTTTTTTTCATTGCAATTTGGTTTGTGTGTGTGTGTGTGTGTGTGTGTGTGTGTGTGTGTGTGTTTGTGTGTATGCACCAGCTAAGTCTACATAAGGAGACCCTGTCTCAAAAGAAAGAAAAGAGTAAGCAAGCACCAACAAAAGCAACTTAGAAACAGCTAACCTAAGAAAGGGCTTATAGAAACAGAAAATACAAGGAAAAGCTAAACATTATGCATTAGTGGAATATTTCATTATACATACGTTAAGAAAGTAAAATCTATTAACATATGTGCTACATTTATCAACATCCCTGAGAATTTCCTTTAAAAAAATGTACCTGGAACAATAGTTTCAAGAACTTCATGAACTCACACACAAGATGCATCTTTAATAAGCTGGACAAGACACCTCTAATATCACAGTAATTACAAAGGGGCAACATTACTGTTCTTTAAAATATTTCTATAGACCACCTGTGACCAAGATCTAAAATATTCTGGATTCATCTAATCCAATGAACTGTAGCTGGGTATAGTGGAAAACATCTCTAATCTCAGCATACAGAAGGCTGAAACAGAAGGACTGTAAATTCCAGAATGTGCTACACAGTGAAATTTTGTAATTTAAAAAAATGAAGAAAGGCGGAAAGGAAGGGAAGGAAAGGTGTGGAAGACAGGGCACGCGATCAGTTGCGAACACTACTTGACCCCCTGCCACTCTGTATGAATTTATGTTTTCAGTAAAGCAGCAATCCCTCATGCTTCACAACACTCCACATGAAGCTGATTTCCTGGGATCTCCGCATAACAACAGAAAATGTATATTATGTGAAGTGTTGCCACACTGGCTGCTAACCCTGATGAGTGCCATTGATGAGGGTGCAGCTGTTCCATTGGTAAAGGGAAAATGTAAGAATGCATTGAGGGATAAGGCCTACAGGATCATTTCTC